CGAGGAGCGGTTGGCTATGGAGAAACGACGCCAAGTGGCGGAAGAGTCTAAAGCGAATCGACAGAAGCTGGCTGAAGAAGCTGCGGCGATTGACGATGGTGATCATGCCGTTTTGGACGACCTCTTGGAGAAGCTGCGCAATGGCGAAAGTGCGGGTCGGAAAGCTCGGCGAAATCGCAGCACCGTCTCTCGACCGCCGCCACCGTTGGCGTTGAGCGCGGACGCACTTCTTGGGACCGCGCCATCGGGCAACGACACGGTCGACATCGCCAAAGACATGCTCGCCCGTTTGAAGTCCGATGGTTTCGAAACTGTGCCGCCTGTCTCGCAGAGCACGTCCTCATCGCAGACTGCTCGTCGTTCGAGACGGAGACAAGAGTCTCATTCATTTGATAGCATAGGGTAGGAGACGTCATGACTGTTGGGATATATGTAAAGTCCCGCACACGTTTAGTGCGGCCATTGTATTAGACCAGTAGCATTTTTCATGTGGATCTATGTTCTTATAATCACTACAACGTCATCCTATTTGCTTCTACTGTTATGCGAACTTGAGGTAGCTCACGTCTTACACGCATGTAGGAGGGGGGCGTACTTGGACGGTCACGCTGACCTCCTGTCGGCAGCAGAGGTGGCAAGCGAGAGGTGGCCTGGCTTCCAAACAGTTGACAAAGCTCGCGAGCTGCTGGCTGTTGTATTACGAACAGTGTAGCATCCGCGGCACTATTACTTGGAGTTGTTAGAGTTTCATCAGGATTATGCCGGATCCGCGCTGGCGTCTACAATTAGCGCGCCAATGAACGCCCTCGACTCCAACCTGAAGTAGATCACAGCCGCTGCCCTCCGTCCAAGTCGCTAGCTCAATCTCGAATTTCCTCATTCCACTCGGTATTTTCGTCTGGAAAGGCACGACCTTCTGGAGAGCTCAATCGACCTGGCGAAGTCTCGAGTATCTGTTTTGCGAACGAGAATAGGTTAAGGTTCACCCCCAACTTCAACCTTGTCAACTGCACCGAACATGCACGCCAAAACGCACACTGTCATGACATATGATCGAGTCTCAGTGAACTGCATGTCTCCAAATCCATGTTGTTCTCCTCCCTCACCCTCTGCAGCATATAGTTGGCTCGACTCTCTGCCGCCATCGCTGACCTCCTCCCACATTCGCCCAGCATGAGGTTCCGGAGACGCGCCTCTAAGAAAGTATCTGCGCTCCCGGAAAAAGGAGATGCTGTTTCAACGGCTATTCGTGACCACGAAGCCCTTTCAGCGTGGTTTATAGGCCCGAAGGCAGAGAATAGCCAGCTTCTCAAGAGCCATCTCAACCTCATCGTCGACCATATCACCCGCGCTCGTGTTGAATATTTTCAGAATGATCCTGTGCGTATTATCTCCTGTTTTGCTAAAAATGGTTGTGCATCGAGTGGCAAGTTGCCCGACGCGGCGGGTGTCGATTACGAGCATTGTACCCCGAGATACTGGTCTTCGTTTGTTCCTTCGCCTTTCGACGCTTGGAAGTATGGGGCTCTGGTGGTCGATGGCGTGCGGGTGCATTGGATCCCAATTGCCCCCATTTTCCTCTAGAATGCTTTCTGCGACAGGTGCACAAAAACCAGTTTCTGATTCGATCGACTTGTGACACTAGGCATTCGTTACCGTCGCAATTCAGGACAGTACCGCATACAAGCGCGAGGTGGCCGAGCTTCACAAACATCTGACCGGCATGACCGACCTACTCTCGCGCTACTCCATACCATCCTTCTCTCCCCGATACATGGGACATATGTGCTTCGACAACTCTCTTCCTGCGACGCTTGGCTATCTTACCGCGATGCTCCACAATCCCAATAATGTTGCGGTCGAAGCAAGTCCTCTTACGAGCTATATTGAATATTGTGTTGGACAACAGCTATGCAAACTGCTTGGATATCGTACGATGGAGATCACTGATGCGGGTACATGTCCACCTGAATTCAAGGGTTGGGGGCATATAACATGCGATGGTTCAGTCGCCAATTTGGAAGCGATGTGGCAAGTCCGTCTTTTTTGCGGCTTCGCGCTCCCGCTCACCGTATTTCTAGGGTTGGTAAGTGGCATCTCCATATTTGTGGCCAGTGATCAGGACAAAGTTTCAGCTCGAAATCTCAAATTCTATCCGCTGTCCCTCAAATGGGCTATAGAAGAGGGGGGGCTAGGGTTTCTCGCATCGTCCTTCACCATCTCTCTCACTCGCGGTCGAAGCGAATCCAGTCTCTTCATGCAGGCATCCACGACTGATCTCCTCAATCTCAAACCCGAGGTGATCCTGGATATACCAAATCGGCTATCTCAAGAATACGGAATATCACAGCAATTTTTGAACGAAGAGATAGGGCGCTACTTGATACAATCTGTAGGCAGGGAGCCTCTGGAGAGGCGCTACGGATTAACGAGCACGCCGAAGTATATTGTCAGTAAGATGTGCCATTATTCCTGGCCGAAGGGGGCAGGTGGGTTGTCTTTCAGTGACTATATGCATGCTAACTATTGATACCATTGAAGCGGTTCTTGGTGTCGGAAGGGATAACATGGAGCAGATCGATGTCGACATCAATGCGCGTATGGACGTCGCACAGCTGGAGATGAAACTGCTTTCACTCACGCGTGCCGGACATCCAATCTATGCTGTGATTGCTATCATTGGAGCGACTGAACACGGCGCAGTTGATCCGCTTGACAAGATCCTTCAGCTACGGCGCAAGTTCCAGGAGGAGCATGGCGTCTCATTTCTGATTCATTGCGATGCTGCATGGGGAGGTTATTTCGCTTCTCTGCTGCACGAGCCGCCGCCCGGTCACAGGTCTGCACGCCCAGCCGGGGACATTGACGCCTTTGTTCCCGAGCAGGCGCTCTCTCCGTACACCGAAACGCAGCTGCGGGCTCTGCGGCATGCCGACTCCATCACGCTCGACCCGCACAAGAGCGGATACGTGCCGTACCCTGCAGGCGGGCTCTGCTACCGCGACGAACGCGCCAAGTGCCTCATCACCTGGAGCGGGCCGTACATCGACGGTGGAGCAGGCGCGAGCGACGTCGAGTCGATGGGCGTATTCGGACTTGAGGGAAGCAAGCCTGGTGCGGCTCCTGTTGCGGTGTATCTCTCACATGCCGTGATTGGCCTGCATCGCTGCGGGTACGGCGCGTTACTGGGCGAGGTAATGTTCACCGCCGCGAAGATGAATGCCCAGTGGGCAACCATATCGCTCGCATCAGACACCTTGCTTGTCGCACCACTCGTAGGTCTGCCTGCCGAGCGTGAGGGGCGCCCGAGAGACGAGGTGGAGGCGCAGCGCCGGTTCGTGCGGGAACGCATTGTGGGGCGCGGGAACCACGAGCTTGTGCGTGACGCGGAAGCGATGGCGCTCCTGAGGCAGATGGGTGGGGACCTCGCAATCAATGCATTCGTGTGCAACTTCCGCGTCGCGCCTGGCGGGCCAGCGAACACGGACGTGGCGGAGGCCAGCTATCTGAATGCGCGCATCGTGGCGAGGTTGTCCCTCACGCGAGTCGATGACGCAGCGCAGATGAAGCCTCTGCTGCTCATGGGCACGGAGCTAAGTGCCGATCGGTACGGCGAAAGTCTGAAGCTACTGAAGCGTCGCTTGGGCCTCGACGAGGGCGACGAGGGGGATCTAGCGGGAATGTGTAACGTTTCGATGAATCCGTTTCCTACTAGGGAGAACTTTATTGGGGAGCTTTCCACAGCGTTCCTGAGAGTTGCTGAAGAAGAAATCAAGGTGAGAGGTTTCAACGGTGGTTTGTTTCGACGATTGATTGAGATTGCGTAGAACTGCTGGAAACGTGTCCAACCCGTGCCGGCTATCCACAGCTTCATCATGCAAGGAACAGACGACCTGTATCTGACATATCTTCCCATGTTTAATCTGGGAAGCTACCGGCAGCAGTTGATCGTTTCCGCGAAACTGCCTGATAGCATCATGAAAGCGTACGCCGAAGTCCGAGCACAGAGGCCCAGCGCAGTCTTCACGCTTCACACCCGCGCAAAGGTGTTGCTGTCTGAAGTGCTCCAAAAAGGTAGCTGCGTGGTAGATATCCACGAGGATCTCCCCGTACTCCATGGGTAAGCAAACGTATCTGGGATCATGCACTGTCGTCCTGACGTCTGTACTCGCGCAGATTCAATCCCGATCCCAAGGGATTTTCGTCATGTGGCGTTGCGCTCAGCGAGATCAAGATTGTGAAGCATCTCTCGCTTTCTCCCACGAGTCTGGCCCGAGAGTATCCTCTGTTCATGCCGTTCTTCCTTTATGGAACCCCTGGCCAGAAACATATCGACCACATTCTGCTGAAGGCCCCCAACGCGCAGCTGAGTTCTAGTAGAGTTCATTTTAGTTTTGATGAACACGCGGGGCCGGCGGAGCCGGCTAAGGGAATTGATTTTCGCTGTGGGGTGATTATGATTCTGGACGAGGTGCGCGAACATACTATGCAGCCGTATGGCCGCGGGCACCGCCCGAATTTCTTTGCTCCCAGAAAAACTTTCCGCGTCTCGCTATATTCAGATCCCTTTTCCGGACAATACGGCTGCACACCCACAGATATCCGCACGGTATGGGAACGACTCGACTTGGGAAAGCCGCTGGCGAAGGGCGCGCTCACTCTCGGGAAGAGCATCTATTCGGACATGACGCACCTCAACCGCAAGACCGTGCCGGAGCTATGTCTGCTGCCTACGGAACAACTCACGCGGGATGAGCTTCTGTTATCCGTTACGGAGGATTACGAACAGATCTCGGAGGACATCAAGCGCGTGGCGGCGCACCACACCGCGGTCGCCGCCGACGACATTAGCGCGCACATCTTGGCGGCCGTGTCCGTCCGTGCGCGCAAATACGATCTGCGGCCTGTGCATGAATCGTATGCGCGTGCTCACGCGGCTGTGCATATCAGCCGATTTGCGTTGAGAGAACTGGACGATGAGCGGAGCCAGTGTGTGGCCGTACGACGGGGTTGGAAGGACTCGTGCGATGAGGTACTGTTGGGTTGATGAGCAAACCGCTTGACCAATATAGCGGATGTAGAGGTGATGATTTTGAACGTTAGTGGCTGAAACCTTGGCAGAAGAGTAGTTTCATGGCGTCCCGCTTGTCTTTGTCTTGAAATGGATTGTCTCGCTAAACAGGAAATTTCTTGAAAGTAGAGCATGCAGATTAATCCAGATATCTTTTCCACCTTGCTCTCACACGCAATGCTGTTGGTGTCGCTGCGCGCAGGCCGGCCTGTGTACCCTTGCGTGCCTCTAGGTATATATATACGTGCTTGACATTCTTGATAGCGCTAGCCAGTTGCAGTCGTACATCAACCTCTTACCCAGTTTCTGAGGCTTGAGCTCTTCGAATATCTTCCCCAGTAACTAGGCGATTCGCATAGAGCTGCATAATAGTTTGGCCACTGCTAACTCAAGAGTACCCAAGAGTACGATAGCATCGTTCCAGGGCAAGACGTGACAAAGTACATGACAGCAAGCAGACATCTAGCTGCAGATAAACAGAGCTGCGCACAGGATAAGTCGATTGTAACACCACTGCAGTTTTAGTATTTTCAAGTTCCTACGAAGAGATGGAGATCAAAGATGAGCATAATCATAAAGTGCGTCACTGCAAATCAGGCCCCTGCCCATCAAGAGGTATAAACAGAATCAAGTACGCAGCCTACAGTGGTCGCCTCATACGGTTTAATGAGTGTCACTCAAAGGCTCCCCCACGGTGGCACGAATTAATTATTGACAAAAATGAACGCCTGCGTGAGTGCTATATACACCAATGCGTGGTGACGGGAGGCAGTAAAATTCTACTAGTGTTACGAGGAAATCTGACCATGAGGCAAGATGTGTACGAAGATCCGAACCAGGGATTATACGATACAACAGCAGCTATACATCTAGTGGCAGATCAACACGGCATGGCCGTACATGAAACAAGCACAAGGTGGCGTCGAAAACTGAGTCAGTGAGAAGAGGAACATGTGGGGGGATCAGGTATTGTGACCGAGGCTGTGCGAAGGGGTGAGATACATGTCATTTCAAAAAATTGCTCGGTGGGATCAGCCAACTACCGAGTCTTCGGAACGGACTCTTGAGCCCTTGCCTTGGCAGTCATCGAGCGAGTTTGAATTCTGATACGACGCTCCAGATGGTCTTCCCCTAGGGGTTGGGAAACCAATGGTGTCGATATTGGTGTGGAAGCTCTCGCCGGTCTACCCTTCGTTATTTCTGGTTGCCCTTCCGGAACCTCAGGTGACGCTGCAGCTTTGGTAGACACTTCAAAGTGTTGTTGCGAAATGGGGCCAATCAGGATCTCCTGATGCTTTTCGTTAGACTTCGAGCATCCGAGCACACCAAAGCCTCTGATAAATCGCCGTGGCACTTCCCCTGCTGCTGTACGACGAGGTAGTTTCGATATATCCTTTTCGATGTCTATGTAACGCTTCAAAAGAGCATCCTTGAGCGCATGGACCATTTTGCCAAACCTACGCAGGTCCGGGCATAAGGTTTCGATGGCATCTTGGAAGTCGGTGTTACCAGCACTCAGTGCGGATTGTCGAGCACTCAATCCATAGAAAACGCCTGCAGCCCACGTTCGCTGTCTCCGATAGTCGTGGGATGGAGGGCTCTTCTCGTTGACCATGACTACTTGCTTGTTGAATAAAACGTGAACAGATATCCACCACAGCGATTCGAAGTCGTGCATGGGATTGTAACGAAATATAACGTCTGACCGAGAAAGCTTTTGCTGTGAGGTCTGTGATTCATCATCTTCTGCTTCCATGCTTGTAGCCAACTCATCTGAGTCAATATAACTAGTGAAAGCGAAGAAGTATTGTTGTCGGTCCACTTCAACGGATATGAAGTCAGCAGTACCCTGATGCGTTAAAACATAGTCTTAGAGCTATCCTAAATCGTTCACTGCAAGGCGACTCACAGTTCGAATCTCATGAGCATCAGCCTGATCATCTAACCGCTTCGCATACTCGAAGTCGGCCAGTTTCACCTTACCGTTTAGGATGAGTATGTTACCGGTGCTGAGATCGCGGTGCACCCAGCCAGCCTCATGAAGAAATTGTAATACTGCCAGATAACCGATGCCTGTCAGTAAAATATATTACAACCCAACCCAACTGACTCGCCATACCTAGTGCCGTCTGGGAGAGATAGCTGAATATTGGAATCAACGATGTCTCCTGATGGAGAACATCGCAGACCTCCTCAAAGACAATACGATAATGAGCCTTTGGATGATACTGATAGTATCGATGATGCTTGTCTTGAGGTGGCGGCTGATCACCGTAATGATGACCCGCATCACCCTTCGGTGCAGTATTTGACCTACTTGACCTATACTTCGCATCCGAGCTGTGCTTCTTCCCCCGACCTGAATGGGTACCTCCACGACGTTTGCTCCGGCCTGTACCGGCAGTACCTTCCCGCGTTCGATTGTCTGAGGGCGTTCGCAGCAGGAATTCGCCAGAATCAAGTGAGATATCTTTCCCATTCGTCATCACCTCCCGTGTATGGTCACGCATACCGCCTTTCACTTGAAC